GTCGCGTTGCGTGGAGAGGTACGTCGCGTCGCGCGGAGAGGTACGTCGCGCACGAAGGAATGTTGCAGAAAGCATCAGCAGGCAAGAAATACAGAAATAAAAGAACCAACCGTAGAAGCATGCCTAAAATAATGATCGCATATCGATTGAGCTGTATGAAGAACGCTAGAGCCGTAACAACGGCGAAGCGAACTGTCCGCGACAGCCAATCACAGTATCTACTACCATTTCAACTTTGGCAGTTATATAAAGTAGCATAAGGAATAGACCCTTTCCACGTTGATCAACCTCTAGGGTACGCCCGCATTCAATTTTGGTTCATTATTTATAAATAAAAAGCACTTAAATAACAATTTATCAACAAAAATCGACAACAATTCAGTCTTGAACAATAGTAGTCTTCTCTGACACGTAGATTCCATCAAGGAACTTACGGATATCCTTTTCTTTAACAGACGTAGACTGCTGGATACGGGCGGCTGAAATATGTCAATTACGAATAGCCTGTTGGGATCGGAGCATATCTAATAAGGGCATACCAGCTTGAGACACGAGCTGAATATCGTTTCCTTCAATGATGAGCTCGTCCTTTTGTGAAGTGGACAACGTGGCAGTGACACCATCCGGAAGAGGCACACGACGAACAATCTTTTCCCCAAGGAAGTTACGAATCTAGAAATATATTGGGCGCTAGAAACTACTAATGGGAATATTAGCTAGGGAAAACAGAAAATCAAACATTTCAAAATAATACACATGAAACTACCTCAACAGTTCTTCCACCATCTTGAAGAGTGACGTTGATGGGGAAATGGGCGTATACGGACCGCATCTTGTAGCGGAAACCCTTGGTGACACCTTTGATCATGTTTTGGATGTGTGAGCACACTGTTCGAATGGCGGCGATCTCTTTGCGAACTCCGAACCACTTGCGTACACGCAGCTGGTTCTTCCCGACACGTTCCATCTGAATACCCAAGCAATGACTGAATACACTACTCAGAAAGACAACAGACATCAGAAAGTTCTCCACAGCCTAACTAATTCTTCTTTCAAATAAGCAACTTATATCCTCTCAACGGATACCCTTGATCAGGCTGGTTGGCACTCTGTTAATCACGCCTTAACGACTTTTGATGTTTTATGTATTAGTGAGAGAACCGATGGTTGAGCTTGTGAGAGCTGCGTTACTTACCTCCATGTGAAGGTGACGGAAGTCACGTTTGAGTGTTCCGCGAGGTCCGGTAACGTGGACGACGCGGTTTTTGACGGTGAACGTCACACCATCAGGGAAATCTACGGTATCATTGGACTCGACCAGCTTCATGATCTTCCCGGATTACCTGAAGACCTCACACTTCAGAAATAAGACGTTGGGAAGATGTTTTAGACAGCAAGTAAGGCAGAAATGCGGAAGCAAAAGGCAAATAAAGCTTAAACTGGAAAAATAGAGAACCACGGTATTGAAACTCAAAATAGTGAACGATAGGCCCTCTGTCAACTATGACACCACATAGAAACGAAAATTCAGTACGGCACTCGACTCTTACAGTAATCCGGCACGTGTTAAAGAGCAAATTTTCGCCCGTCACATATACGACGCGTCGAAAAGGAGCTTTGGGCAAACACATGGAGTTTGAACTTGTACGAAGAATTCAACATTCAGAAACCCTAGCACTACAGATACAAAATTTAGACACGCAACCTGACATACAGAAATTCATGTGTCACATTGATTTTTTTATTCACGTGGTGATACAATTACTTCCGCTGATTCCCCGCTTCCGATGGGAAGAAGAGGCAGAATGAACTGAGCTTCCCTCAATATACTTTACCGCGGCAGTGATATCACTGGCAAAATACTAAGCTTACCAGCAAGTCGGAGATGCGCAACATGCTAGAAGGGTGAGGCTAAAAAGAGCAAGGTACCATAACTGTTTAATGTGACCAAAAACTCCAATAAAAGAAACTCTTTTAAATGGTGATATAGCCAGTTGTTTTAACTTATAAGACCCTGTACAGACATATAAAGCCATTAGAAACGCAATTTTCAAATGAACAAATAGATGTTTTGAGAAAGATCTGGTCAATATCGCAGTAGATATGTAAAAACGAGATAAATTGCAAAAAATTCACTCTGCAAACAATCGGCAAATCAACTTCGGATATAGGTGGAAAGACTGAAGTTTTGCAGAATTTACGTAGTTTTAGAAATGCTGCTCCATTTTCACTGCGTATCAACGAGCTTTACTGAGTCGATGCGCAGATCAAGTGAAACACAGGCCATCGTAACTTCGGTCCTAATACGATTTCATTTCTATGCACTCTTTGCACAATCGCTCCACCCATATTTCTTTGCGCTGGTTTAAATTTTGGATCCATCTAAGGAATCCTTACTACCCTTTTCTTTCTGTCTTTGTTCCGTGAAAAGTTGTGGCTATTGTGCTACTTACCATAATATAATCTATGTCTGAAAGCTCTTACAAGTTGCATAATTCGTTAGACGAACTTTTTCCCTGTTGTGGGCCGGTCACAAGCCATTAGCTTTTTCCATGTATATTTCACCAGTTCTAAATATGCTTTTTTTCAGCCAAAACTATGAAGGTTCGGGTAAAACCAAAGGTGATTTGCAATTTTTTGTTTGAAGCTAGTTGTTTGACTTTCTGAAATACTTGTGAAATGAGCTCTTGATCTTGCTAATTCGCCTAGATACAACTATTTTCAGCACGAAGCAGGAGCTGCCGTGAATTATATCTCTCGACGTGAGGCTTTGAAAAAGCTCCAACTATCATTAAAAGACTTCAGACGTCTCTGTATACTTAAGGTAATAGGAACCTCATTTTCTATCACATTTGATACTTATTCATCGGTCAAATTTTTTACGTCCTAATAAAATTTCGTTCTTATCACATAGGGCATATACCCGCATGAGCCAGCTCATAAGAAGAAGGTCAATAAAGGATCTACTGAAAATCGTGTATGGTATTATCGAAAGGACATAAATTTCCTTGCTCATGAGCCAATTATTAACAAGTTCCGTGACTATAAGGTACGTATAGCATGTTTCATTTCAAAAATTGTTAGACTGATACCAGTGGTTGCAGGTTTTCCTGAGGAAACTAAACCATTACAAAGCAAAAAAAGATGAATCGAAGGTGAAAAAGTTGTACGACAATAAACCTGAGTATGAGTTGGATCGAATGGTTAAGGAAAGGTTAGACTTCTTTTCTTTTAATGTATGTTTCTTCGCCGATGAAAGATGAATGTTCTCAGGTATCCTACATTTGGTTCCGCCATTCGTGATCTTGACGATGCACTGTGTTTATGCTTTGCTTTCGCGACTCTCCCACATACTCGAATTCTCAAAGAGGGACTTATTGATAGCTGCCGGCGTCTTACTGCAGAGTTTATGCATTATATTATTGAAGCGCACGCTTTGAAGAATACATTTATTTCCATAAAGGTAAGTTTTTGTTTCTAATGCTACTAATTCGTTATCTGATGGAATTCACTATTCGATGGATAGTTAAGAAGTGGAACCTTTTAGGGGAGATGTTGGATGTCGTAAGTATCCTCCTACAGCCATAAACTCGTACTGCAGCCTAAGGTGGAGGGGTTCTAATATTTCCTTGTTTGACAACACAGAGGAAAAGTGAAAAGAGTTACAGGCCCTTGATTGGAGAGCATTTTTATTAAAACTAGATGGAAAGAGCTAGTTTGTAAGGATTAAGACCTCGTAGTCAGGGATCATGAATAGAACGGCCTAGCAGCTTTCTCCTCAACGACTTATAGACGGGGTCTCTTCAGCTGGTAATTACTCTTCTCCCTGCTTTCTTTATACCAGGGAACACTGTAGAGAGTTTCTTTCGTAGAATGGGTAAGCCACCATTTTAATTTCGATTACTACAGGACCATACAAGTAGTAATGTCGTTCATAGCACGAGTTTCTGATGTATTTTCAAAGGCATTACAAGCTGTTTTTAGGGTATATATTATCAAGCAGAAATATGTGGCGAGAAAGTTACATGGATAGTTCCTCATGATCGTGGATTGCCCCATGTCACGGATGTTGATTTCACCGTCATGGTAATTTACTCAATCTCTCATCCTTTATAAATTTTAGTTGAAGAAAGGTGATAAACAAGTTGCGTTTCGGTCTAGTGATGAGTTTCTAATTAAGTGTAACTAGTAACTTCTCATTTCCAAAACATTTCATGGGTACTCTTTTGGTAACGTTTAAAAACTAGGAGCAGAGCACTAACATATCTACTTAAACATCTTGGATGTGGTTGTGAAGTCAAGGAGTTTTAATACTAAGAGTCGAATTGCTCCTCCCCTGTCTTTGTTTGTTTTACTCATATTAAAAGAATTTNTTTCTTCACTAGCGAGCTTGACGTCATCAAACCTAAAACAGTTGAACGGTCTTTGTTAAAAAGGGATGTCTGTGGCCCTTCAGTTGGTATGGAGTCTGAATCGATATCTTCGTTGTTTTCATTTTAGGTAACGTTCGCTGAATTCTATGTTGCTATGCTCGGGTTTGTGAATTTCCGTTTGTACCAAATGATTGGACTGTACTATCCTCCTCAAATACAGACCGGCCAAAATATGGTTGCAGCAGGTCAGCTATTTTCTGATGCTTTGTTGTGCATAATTGTTGTTTACTCGCTATTTCCCTTCTGCAAAAAATTCTAATCTCTTTTCGTGTTGAAGTTACAACCTTGTATATTCTACTTCTGCTCGTAACGCATTCGGATGACCTGATCTTGGTTGTTGCTATGTCGAATATCTCATAATTTGAGCAAAAACAGGAAGGCGGATTACAACTTTCTAGGCTTTTGTGCACCCAAACAACAACTCGTGTTCGGCTGCCTTTTCTTATTGTGGTAGCCCAGCATTCAGTACAGTTTCCAGCCCCTATTCTATCCACCTGGAAGCATCACGCATCGTGGCTACTCACGTATTGGTAGTAAGACGTTCAGCGCATTTGGTAGTAGCGCAGTGAGGATCGGTCGATGGGGTGGCTAGATTCTGTATCAAGCGAAACATTGCCATTACCACCATCTCATATGGTATAACAATTTTCTGGTTTAATGTTTTACGAGCTGTCTTTATGTAAATTTCATGCGAAACTCTCCTTTTCGCATAATTTTTAAACGCCGTGAACGGTACGTGTACACACCTACACACATTACCAACACAATCGTTCGAATAGATATCGCAAAGAACGAAAGAAGATCATGAGTTTGCTCTGTTCTATATGCCACAATCCCTGTCGCTTCATTCCCTAATCGGTCTGTAAACGACTACACATTCACTCTTCCATAGTTGTTTGCTGTATCTGATGAGCAGACGCATATTATCCACCGTACCGATAGTCTTTNTTTCCTGTTTATCTACCACTATGATATCCCAGAGTTTCATTTACGAGTTTGCTTCCATTTTTTGTCTTGCCGTTCTGGGTAGAGCACTTCTGCCTTTTCACTATGCCCTCTAGCTATGTTGTAATCATTACTTATTGCTCTGAGCTGCTCATTCCGATCATTCAAGCACTGAACAGTATGGCATTCATACCCTACTCGACAAACTTTCTTCCTTACTTCACTTTCCTTTTTCCTTGATCGCAGTCCATGGGAATTCTCACTCTTTATGCTCTCTACTACTGCTCCACTGATGCGATTCTTACCTTACGAGTTTTTATCTAGAAAAATCTTGAACTCTCGTTTATTTTCGATTTTATTGTTTTTCCTAGCTATTCTTTTTTCTAATTGTCGTTAGAAGATTTCTTGTAATTCTAACTCTGCACAGCTTCTACCGAGTCATGTTTTTATGAACTCGCTAGTAGTTCGCGTGCTATTTTACTTTCCCTATCCTTCTACTTTGGAACGCTTAGTAGCCTCTACAATAACTAGTATGTGGTTTTGCTGCTGCGCGCGTGACAAAGAACTCTTCGTTCTTGAAATTTCTAGTATTTGCTAAATATTTCATTCTATTATTCCTTCTTAGCTCAAGAATGGATTATTGTTTGGTAAATCGGAATCAAGTGTTTTTGTCCATTGTCTTTCGAATACATTTTTTAAAAATTTCCTGGCTCTAGATGACGATATTATCGTACGATTTCACATTGAACATACTTTTTGTGGAATTTTTGCTAGAGTTGTCGAAGTTATTCTGGCCGAGGTAACGTAGTTTCGCTCAAAAGGCTGTCTGAAAAATATCAACATGACCCCAAATGACAAATCCTTTTCATATTATGAGGCATCTTCCCTTCCGAACTGCTTCTATTTATCCCTACCTGCAGGCTAACTGTGGAACAGATTATGCACTTTTTATTCCAACTCCTTCACTTTAGTAGGAGCCATGCTATTCTCTTTCGTTCTTGAAGATGTTCTGGTAGTAGTAATGAAATTTTGAAGATAGCAGTTTCGGTAGTTTCGAGTACACTTCTCCTGCTAGACGAGCTTGAACACCCTCTCCCTACCATCATTCATTTTCTCGATACTCGGGGATGTGATGGAACGAATTATGCCTTGTTTGAGCAAGGACTTTGTAAAAGGCTCAGCCACCGTGGGTGGGCTACATACCGTTCACATTGCTACTTTTTGCTGATGACCAACGCAGCACAATTTTGATTAGATCTTTCCGTGTCTTTTTATAATAAATAATAGATAGATAGATAATATGTTGACAAATCCCCCTAAGTACACAAAGTAAACATAGGTGAATCGTAAAACTGTTTTGATACAACCAAGGCTAACTTGTTTATTTGCCATCTTCGTCGCAGAACTTCACCAGTTCTTACAATCTGTTAGTCATTGTACCCTTTTTTAGATGATTCTGATGATGAAGAACGTGTAGAGAAGATATACAGTTTGGCACGGCCTTTGGCGAAGCGAACAGGTGCAGAAACCAGCGAGGACCAAGAGGTTCCTTTAGTTGCTGATTTCGGTAGTTTCTCCTCTGTGCTAAAGCATATTGTCTTTCAGGAAGCTGTAGAAATGTTTGGAGATGAAGGGAACGCCTTGGCAGAGAAACTGAAAGAAGCTAAACTGATCAAGTAAGTTTCTTTGGGGATGGTTGAATATTAATAAGTTTTGATTAGGAACCAGTATTCAAAAAACCTTTGTTCAACCTCTGTTTCCAGAAATCTTTTCAAAGGACTTGTATTTTTCCTGAACAGAGAGACACCAAAAGAGGCGTTGACATTGATAATTCGTAATTGTGGCGGTGTTGTTGGTGAGTAAATTTGTATCTTTTACCTTTGTATTTTGTACCTACTGTTGGCGCTTATGCAGGGTGGAGCGGAGGTCCCACAAATCTGGAAGAATCAGATTCGTCCATCACGCATCAGATTGTTGATCGACCCATGTCCAAGTTCGACATGAGCAGGTACTAACATCAATTCACTTAGAATTTAGTATTCGTTTTTTGTACTCTTTCTCCACACTGTCATAATAACTGTTCAGAAGATACATTCAACCACAATGGGTGTTTGACTGTTTGAATGCACGGCGGAAATTGCCTACAGAAAAGTATGGTTTTGTTTTTTTCCTTCTGATAAGGGATTAGATAGACCAATTGCATGTTATTTAAGATACATGGTAGGTGTTCAACTACCACCGCATTTTTCACCGTTTACAAAGGATAAACCTGGAGATTATGTGCCACTGGAAAGGTTGGAAGAATTGAGGAGCATGGGGCAAGGTGGGTTATTTTACGCCCATTTATTGTTCCTCTTCATTGCTTTCATGATATTACGCTTCAGTGTCGTTCTAGCCACTATTTTTTGTACTTCCGGTTCAAAGCATTTTTATAGATGTGTCTGCTCTGATTGCGAACGAACCTGCATTGCCGCCCAAACCGAAAGCCAAAAAGGTGAAAAAGACCGAGGAGGAACCGAAGGGTATGAGAGCTACTCTTGGAAAAATGCATAAGAAGAATAAACAACTTGAAGTGAACCAGCAGGTGGGTGTACTTTTTTTTCGCTAAATGAATGATTTAGTTTAAGAGTAGTGTTCAAGACCAGAAAAA